TAGAGAAAACATCTATCGACTCGGATCTCTTTCTCCATTCTCTTCTTCTTCCAATCTCTCTCTCTGCGAATTTTTTTTCACAGTTTAGGTTTTTTTTGGCGGGAAAATGTCTGGGAAAGGAGCTAAAGGGTTGATTATGGGGAAACCCAGCGGAAGCGACAAGGATAAGGACAAGAAGAAACCCATCACTCGTTCTTCTCGAGCTGGTCTACAGGTATGTCTATGTGTGAAGAATTTGTGTCTGTTGAATCGCGTATGTGGTGGATCGATGAGATTCTGAGTTAGGGTTTTGGTATTAGTTATGGAATAGAGACATTGGGTTTCGAGATTTGCTTTGGATTTGATTCAGTGAATGTTTTTGTGGTTGATATTGACCTCGATCTTTTTCGATTTATAGTGTGTTTTTGTTCTCGTCTTGATTAGGGCAATGGAGGTTTGAGTTTTGGTTCTCAATCTAGGGCTAAGTCATGTTTATGGTACTATTTGAGAGAGAGTTGTTTAAGGTCGAGAGAGCAACAACAAAAAAAAAGAAGAAGCTAATATTGATGTTTTTGTTGTTGTTGAAAGCTTGTGAAGGTTCTCATTGATGGGTTCTTTGAAACTGTTTGATGTTGTAGCTCCTCTCTGACTATAAACACTCGTGCTTTGACCCAAGAACTCAAACGCTCCTTGCGTTCTAATGATTGATTGATATTACTTTTAGCTTTTTTACTCCGGTGTATGCTCGATTCTCTTGTGCAGTTTCCATTGGGTAGGAGTAGAGACCTTGGGATTGGAGATTCCCTCTTCTGTTTTGATTCAATGAGTGTTTTTGTGGTTGATATTGACCTCGATCTTTTGATTTACAGTGTGTTTTGTTCTCATCTTTATAGTTGTAAACGATGTCAATGGAGATTTGAGTTTTTCCATCTAGGTCTGGTCATGGTTATGATACTACTTGAGAGTAGTTTTATTGTAGAAACAGCTAATTTTGATTCATCAATGTGTGTTTTCTTGAACCATTTTTGGTGTTGAAGCTTGTGAAGTTTCTCATTTAGTGGCTTCTTCAAATTGTTTGGTGTTAAAGCTTGTGAAGTTTCTCTTGTCATGGCTAATTGATTCTCTTGTTTGTTGCAAATTGATTCTCGTGTGCAGTTTCCCGTGGGTAGGGTGCATCGACTGTTGAAGACAAGGTCCACTGCTCACGGAAGGGTTGGTGCAACTGCAGCTGTTTACACAGCGGCGATATTGGAGTATCTGACTGCGGAAGTTTTGGAGTTGGCTGGAAACGCGAGCAAGGATCTGAAGGTGAAACGTATCTCGCCAAGGCATTTGCAGCTTGCAATTCGTGGTGATGAAGAGCTTGATACTCTCATCAAAGGAACTATAGCTGGTGGTGGAGTTATCCCTCACATCCACAAGTCTCTCATCAACAAATCCGCCAAGGAATAGATTCTTAGTTTCCCCGCTTTGTGTTTCCATTTCTCTAAGTATTTCGAGAGTCTGTGTTTGATAAAGACACTAGAGAGCTCTTTTTAGGATCGTTTGCTATTGTTCAATCGGCGTGTACTCGTGTTAGACACGCTAGTCGATCTTATCTATCTTTAAACATATGTATTTGGTGATTATCTGAAAACCCTTTCTGACTGCCTTTCAAGTTTTGCTGCTCGTATGTCGTATCAAAGTAACAGATCATTGGTAAAGCTCGAAAAACAGATTCATTGGTAAGGATTTGTATTTTCGCTGGACAGGAATCGTATATACATGACACAACAAAAATCCACAGGTTGTGTTCAATAAAACTTGAGCAGAAGCTATCCACTAGGCTTAGTATTCTTGTGTAGAGCTGTTGATTACTTGCAAACTCTTTCTTTGAGATAGTCTTAGGAGTTCGATAGTTTAGGTATCAGTCTGCAAATGAAGGAATCGAGAGCGGAAACAAGTGTTGTAGGACACTCCTCGTGTGGCAAATGTCCGCATCCAGATATCGCTACAAATCTCTGTTCGCGCACACACACAAATAGATAAAACTGTATCAAAAGAGAGCGGAAACTAAAGTTATGAAAGTCTTGGTTCAGAAGATTTGCAAACTTACAGAATTAGCGAGTTTTGAAGCTAAAACTTGTGAAGATTTCAAAGGTACAAGAGCATCCTCAGCCCCGGCAACAACTAAAACTGGAAGATCTCCCATAGATTTCAACAGAGCTGATGCATTTTGAGGCGAAAGACTCATCTCATACGATAACTTGCTTATCTCATTGAGTGCTTCATCCCAAGCTTCTAAACATAGAGGAGCCTGAAATACACAAGAAAGACACTAAGTAAAAGGTAGCTTCTTAATCTCATTATGTAAAGGTTATAAAGTGAAGCTTAGTGATTACCTTGTAGAGCATTATGACATCAGTGGTTAACTTGGTAGTATCACACCACGCACGCCGGTTCACCAATTGGGTTATTTCGGTTCGCAACAATGGACGAACCAAGTGCTTCTTCCTAAGTGAAGTATGAAGAAGTATCCTTGCAAATGCAGGAACTACTTCTCTTGATAAACTAACATTTATCAAAACCACTCCTTTGATTGCAATCTAAAAATTGTTTAGCAACAATGGTATTGTTAGTTGCAACTTGGCAAGTAACACAAAAGTCATAAAATCTTAAAGAAACTGATTCTTACATTGCATTTGAAGGTAGAGGATGTTTGTACTCTTTCAACAGCCTTGAGAGCAAGCAAACCGCCATCGTCGTGACCAACGAGTACAACCGATGAAAATCCCATCTCGGAACAAAAAGAAAGTAGTAGACCAACCTGGCTTTCAAGTTTGTAAGGGTTAGCTAGATTTCTCTCTTCCCAATCTTTACGGATAAGCCTCGAGGTTAAGCCCCAACCAGGCCGGTCATATGCAACGACTCTGCAACCGAGGTGAATAGACAATTCTCCCATTACATGTCTCCATGAGAAGACTCCACCTCCAAATCCATGAACAAGAACTATACCAACATTCTCATTTCTCTCCAAATCATCACCAAGATTCATAGAATCCATTTGATTCATATCATCCTTATCGAAAAAGCTAATAGGAGTAGTTGAGTAACTAGCTAACAGAGGAGCGTATAACGATGATCTATCGGGCTGCATAGTGTAGCTTCGATGCAAATGATTGCTTTGAGTTTGCGCGATTAAGTTTGACATCTGCTTGTCTAGTACTCTCAGCCTTCTTACATTCATTTCTACTGCAGAACCGCTTACGATAGACGGTGAATCACACTGCTTGTAATGTACGTTTAAGCCATGGATCTTGATGAATAAACTGTCTGCATTTGCAAGTAGTCCTGGTTGTAATAACTCTTCTCTATCCAAAGATGTTCCCCTGAAAGAGGTTGGTCTGAATTCACCAGCATAAGTTAAGATTTTGCAGTTTAATCGAGTGAGAGATTGACGATGCGCCTTCTTGTAACCCGAGAAACCGGATTTACACGAAAGAACCTGCAATACCATATAGAAACACGTAAGCTCCAATCTCAAAATAGAGAAGCTAATAAGTGAATAACAAGAAGAGCAAAATATTTTACAGCTTCTTGGTCAATTTTGTGGTACATGAGCTTCCTTCTTGCTACACAACTCATTCTATAAGCGACCACGACATGAGCTAAACCGAAAACCGCAGACGAAAGTAGCAAAACCGGCATTCCCCACGAGATCTTGATGTAATAAACTTTTGCTTCTAGATGAGTATTTACAGTGACAACACAAGCTTTAACCAAAAGTATAAGAAACCCACCAAAGGAAGATAACATCACTGTTTCAAGATAAAGACCATTAGCTAATCTTGTGTCTTCACATATCCAAGAAAGACCTGTTTCAAAAGCTTTTAATGAATCAGAGAACCATAACAAAAGTAATATAACATTTGTGTTTGAGAAGTTGATAATCAAAGTCCGTACATATAATGGCGAGAGATCTAAGGAGAGAGATGAGTGGTACATCAATGAAAGAGTTCTTGAAACTATACTGAAGAAAATGTTCTGAAGCAGAGTAGCACGTGAGGCACGTGATGCTAGAGACTATAAGACAAGGAACCACCACATCAACCACCGTGATTAGAACCGGTAATGACGAAGCTAATAGAGATGCCGTCATTGTTGCCATAAAGAACATTGTCCGTAAACATCTTCGTGCTTTTTCCGCCACAATCCACGACTTCCACGCCGCCATTTTTGTCGACTAAATCAGACTGTGGCTACAACAAACTTGGAGCAAATGATCCAGCGTCTGTAGCTCTATTAGTGTACTAAAGGATCTTCCGAAAATAGTCTGCCTGGACTAAATGTACGAAAAGATTATGAACCAAAGGTTCGAAACTTCTTGACAATGTAAAAAAATTCAAGAAAACAATCAAACGAGAAGATCTATGACTATGTCAATCAGTCGTGGCGGATTGTCGGAAATTCGCCTAGATCATGACGGTTAGTTGACGGCCGAGCATTCCCCGGAATTTTCAAGTTTGTTTTTTGCTCTTATATACGAACCATTTTTTTTTTCTTTCAAATGTAGACAAAAAGTTTTAGCTTTTTAGGGAGTTATTTCTAGGTTTTAAACATTTATAAGTATAGAAATATTGGTTTATAAAATATAGAATGAGTTGTAAGATAAAGTTCAATTTATGAGTGGGAAAATAATTTAATGATTAATGGACCAAAAGACAGCAAATAGAAAGAAATGATAAGTGTATTTGGAGGAAGAAGTATGCATATAGAAGCATGTGAATGTTAGGTTCACTCTAATATTCTTCCAGCCATTTTCTTCTGTCTTTGTTCCCTTAAAGGTTAGCTTACTAATTATTTTATTTATTTCTATTTTTAACTCATTTTTATTAACAATTTGGAAATAAAATATGTGTTGTCATTTACCAATCTTATTTAGGTGTGTCATTGGATAAAGAAACCATTAAGAAAATGGGTAAAATAATCTTAATGGTCCATGACAACACATGGATAGTTAAATGAATTTTTTTTTTGTTCTAATCTGAAAAACCGAGTGTAAATTCGGTTATGAACTGAAAATAAAAACAAACAATGTAAAAGTGAATATTTTTTTCTTAAGAATTAAAGATAGTTAACAGAAACATGCAACCAAAACCGTATCAAACCATTAATGATATATTACATTTTTGTTCGAGTTTTGTTTCGATTTTGGCCACAAGTCAAAATCTGGATTGAACACTCCTTTTTCACACCAATTACTTCTTCTTTTTTTTTTTGAAAATTTAAGAGACTACGAAAAAGGATTTTACAATAACTAGAAAACATTGACAAAGAAACTATAATTTTTTAAAAAAACTAGAACTAAAAAATGTTAATAATGGGTTTGTTCATATAATTGAGATGTAATAATTATGAAGCCAATCTGGCAGAACAAATCAAGATATTGTCTATGAGACTATGAGTAGGTAATTACGGGATCTTTATATTAAAAAGCAAAAAAAAAAAATTATTTTGAAAAAGTATAATAGAATAACAAGTCAATAATTTAATAATTGTGTTCCCATGCATGTTACTGCAGAAACAAAGGAATAAAATGGTACATCGATTTGTGTACGTTTCAAATAACGCATGACAATAAAATACGAGGAAACTAC